AAATTATTTTGTGAGGCAAGTTTATTTACTTATTTATTTTTGAATAAAGCAGATTTTAAAGCTTTACTTAAGTAGCTTAAACACTCTGAATTAAAAAGAAAAAAAAGACACCAAAGTGCCGCAGTTTCTGAACCAACAATTTTAAATAGTGGTTTATTTTATTTTATTTTATTTTATTTTTTGATTTTTCTCCGGTACCAGGAACCGAACTCACGACCTTGCGCTTGCCAGGCAGGCGCTTTTGCCGCTGAGCTAAATCCCCAGCCCCTTAAATAGTGGTTTAAATTGGGGGTTGAAAGGTGTAGCCTGAAATCGGAGGAGCTAATAATAGGAATAACAGAGCCCAGAAGAGCAAATACAGAAGGGAAGGACCACTAGTATGTAGGGGCAGTGAATGGCTGTTACCAGTGTGGCACGTTTTATCTTCCAACTGTAGCTAGTTAGGTGATTTTCACAGATTCTTTGTACCTATCTTCCAACTGGGTAGACAATCTGCCCCAAACCTTGGGTTTAGAAAATAAGGAAAATAGGACAGAATGAGAAGCAGACACACATTTTAATTGGAGTTTGAGGAGTTGGAGAATTAATAAATCTAGAAGGTTCCACAACAAAAAAGCAATAGAGACCCCTCTTCCCTAGCCAGACCAGTTGTATATATGGATTACTCATGGGAGGAGAGAAGAGATGGAACCATAACATAAAAGTTAGGAAAATTAAAATTAGGAACAAGACAAGGATGTCCACTGTTACCACTCCTATTCAATACAGTGCTGGAAACATTAACCAGAGCAATTAGACAAGAGAGAGAAATAAAAGGAATAAGGATATGAAAGGAAGAAGGGAAATTATCATTATTTGCAGATGGCATGATTCTCTACATAGAAGACCCCCAAAAACTCCACCAAAGACTTGTAGATTTAATAACCAAATTCAGCAGTGTAGCTGGATACAAAACAACACTCAAAAATCAATAGCATTCCTGTACACAAAAACAAACACACTGAGAGAGAAATTAGGGAAACGACTCCCTTCACAGTAGCATCCAAAAAAGGAAATACTTAGCAATCAATCTAACAAAGGAAGTACTCTGAAAAAAGAGATCGAAGAAGATTTCAGAAAATGGAAAGATATTCCTTGCACATGGATAGGAAGAACCAACATTGTGAAAATGGCCGTACTCCCAAAACTATTATACAGATTCAGTGTAATCCTGATTAAAACAGCATTAGTATACCTTACAGATCTAGAGAACACATTCCTAAAGTTAATCTGGAAACAGAAGTGACACAAACTAGCAAAAGCAATCCTGGGCAACAAAGGCAAGGCAGGAGGCATCACAATCCCTGACTTGAAATTATACTACAAAGCTACTGTGATAAAATCAGCATGGTACTGCAAAAAACAGGCCTGAGGATCAGTGGATAGATTATAAGATGCAGCAACAACCACAAACACACTGAACCACCTTATGTTTGACAAAGGGGCCAAACATGTTCACTGGAAGAAAGATAACCTCTTTAATAAATGGTGCTGGAAAAACTGGCTCTCCACATGTTGAAGACTCAAGTCTTTCACCATGCACTAAACTAAAGTCAAAATGGATCAAAGATCTAAATATTAAAACAGAAACACCAAATCTACTAGAAGAGAAAGTAGGTGGAAATCTTGAAGACATAGGGGTAGGTAGAGAGTTCATGAATGAAAACCAAACCACATGGGACATACTTCAAAGAATCAGCAACTGGGATCTCATGTTATTGATAAGTTTTTGCACATCAAAAGAAATTACCAACAGAGTAAAAAGAAAATCCACAAATTTGGAAAAAATTTTAGCCAACTGTACCTCAGACAAAAGACTTCTATTTACAACATATAAAAAATTAAAAAAATCAGGCCCCCAGAACTCAAAGACCCAGTCAAATAATGAACATCTGAGATGAATACACACTTCTCAGAAGAAGAATTATAAATGGCAAATAAATATATGAAAGACTGTTCAACATCATTGGTCATTCAAGAAATGCAAATTAAAATAACACTGAGATTCCATCTCACCCCAGAAATAATGGCTATCATCAAGAAATCAACCAATAACAAATGCTGAAGGGGTTGTCGGGGGTGGGGGGAAGGAACTCTACTCCACTGTTGATAGGAGTGTAGACTGGTACAATCACTGTGGAAATCAGTGTGGAGATTCCTCAATAAACTAGGATTAGAGGTCTCATTCAACCCAGCTATTTCCTTTCTGGGTATTTTTCCAGAAGAACTAGAAACATCATACCACAGCGATATATGAGCACCCATGTTTATAGCAGCACAATTTGTAATAGCTAAGTCTTGGAAACAACCCAAATACCCATCAACGGAGGAATGGATAAAAAAGATGTGGTATTTTTATACATTGGAGTGTTACTCAGCTATGAAGAAAAATAAACTCAAGGCTTTTATAGATAATTGGTTGCAGCTAGAGACCATACTTACAAGTGAAATAAATCAGACCTGCATGTGTAGATACCCTACTGTCTCCCTAGTGTAAGAACCTGAAAGAGTAAATAAAATCTGAAAGTTACAATAGATATTGTGAAAGGGAAAGAAACTGCTCAAAAGGAAAGAACAACTGGGATGAAGGAAAAGAGAAAAGAAAGAAAGAAGGGGGAATATATATATATAGTATACACAGGATAGCTAAGATAATTGTACTGCTGATTTCTATTGGTTTATTGAAACGAATAGTTAATGCTTAAATTTTTTGACCAATTTTGCATGCTTCTGTCTGGCAATCTGAACAACTAATTTGAAGACAACAGTATGCAATATAACAAACATTGTTGAATTCCTATCATTTTGTTTTGTGAAATTCTGTGTTTGTTATGTTGAAAAAGGCACCACAGATAGAAATATGGGAGAATTAATTTTTTTATTATTTTTTAACTCTCTTTAAAATAAAAAAAAATTTAAAATTAGCAAAGTTATTTAGCAAAGTCACAACCTCAGCTTTGTTGCAGTTTTCTTTGAGGTCTGTATTTGGTCAGGATTGTTTGGTTTGTGTCAAAAAATCTAAAGTTGAACTACTTTAGGTAATCAAGGGCAAGAATACAGACTGACCTGAAATCAGGAACCCTAGGAAAGCTACGGTTTCTGTGTTTTCAGTCTCCCACATCTGCTTTTTTTGGTGGGGTCTACTATAGCTGTGCCTCTCTGCGTCAGGTCTTCTCTTGGATGGGCCTCTTTGCATAGGCAGAAACTGACTGCTGGCCGTTCCCACTTCCACAGAGAAGGTTCAGTTCGTTTTGCATGGATTCTGCCTTTCTCCAGCTGTGGTAGCAGAGCGGGGTTTTGTGACTGGCCCAGAGTCACAGTACAGCCAAGGAAGCTCACCCTGGCTGATTAGACCTTAGTGACAGGGGACTGAGATCTGCAGCTGTAGCTTTTCTTTGGGAAGGAGGGTCTGAAGGGGAGGAGAAAGAGGTGTTTCCATGGAGCAGTGGGAGAAGATGCTGTTCAGGTGGAAATAAGTATGAAGAGGTTTTTCACTCGTGGTCTTTTGAGAAAAGAAATATCTGGTTAACTATCTTTAAGTTCCCCTTAATTTAGCATTCCAGGAAACATCACTTTGTAGGATTTAGTTCTGAGAGAAACCCAAGGTTTAAAAACTTTACAATTTAGTGCTTCCTTTGTGCCTGGTTCTGCTGTAGAACCTCTTATATATGTTGTCTCTTTTAATTGCCGTGTTTGTTAGAAGTGTGTATTTCCACTTCAAGGAATGAGGATGAGGCCCAGAAAGTTGAGATGATCACGTGACTAGTGAGAGGCGGAACCAGAATTCAGATACTCAACCAGTTTCCGGAATGTCGAGCTGGGCACTTGCCACCATATGGTGCTTGCTGTTTGGTTAGCTTCACTGAGAAGATGCATAGAGTGATGATAACAGTAACATTATCTGCTAAGTGCTTTGCTAAATGAGTCATGAATCACGTGGAATGTTA